CCTTAGAGTTTGGTCCAGAGGGCTTTGAAATTAATGGAAAAACTGCACCTAAGCTTAGTGGGCTTTGACTCAATCAGTTTTGAGCCTTCCATCAGTGCTAAAATTTAAATATGCTTTGAAAACTTCATTGTGGGTCCCTAATTTCCTAAGAACCATTCTCAACAATGACAGTGTGGTATCTGACCTGCCAAAAATCTGATTCAAGTCTCTACTAATGTTTCAGCTGTTACTAACTACTTAAGTAATTTACTTAATTGGAAAGTGCACTAACTTCAGCCTTAGGTGCAATGCAGAATAGTGAGGGATTCCATAAGATCAGAAGTGATTTCCCAGCACCCCACTGCGTTTTCTCATTGCTTTCTGACTGGTTTGATAGTTGCAATGTTGAGCTAGAATAATACTTTCTTCCTTCATAATTGTTGCACTTCTTGCCAAAAATCAAAGGGCTGAATTGCATTCACTGACTTAAAATCAGTCCTGCTGTCAAGTGTGATGCATGTTTAACTGTTCTGTCTGTCTGTTGTGGGACTGGAACAATTTCAAACAATCTACCAATCATGAGCAGGAAAAAAAAAATCATTAGAAAATCAATTTTTGCTTAATTGAAGATCCTTCTTCCAAATGGGAATGAAGCGAGATTTATAACCTCAGCTTCACTGACAGTATGGCGATGGCGCTTGAGCTTGTCAGGGTTTTCTTTTGGTAGCTGTAGCATGGACAGCGTTTACTTTTCCCACCATCTGTGGGACCAGAGCATGGGTCCTGGGGAGCAAAGATATGTCCTTGGTGGATCACAAGAGGTCATTTTTCCAAATCAAAGATGGAAAAAAAGGCATCATGTAGGGAGGAAGCAAAGCAGGAGAAGGGAACTTCAAATGCATCTAAATATTCCTTCCAAATGCAGTGAGTGGAAGTTACAGTGGCTGACTCATGGAGACATCCCTTTGGCATCTGACTACTGATGCTGACATTGCTGAAGTCCTGTATCCCAGAGCCCCTTGGGTAGTTCACTTTCTCCTCCCAGAAAAAGGGTTCCCAAAGGCAAAATCCTGTTTCTACTCAACACAACAGGAGCTTTGCAGTTGGTTTCAATGGGGTCACAATTTCACTTCAGTTCTTTTAAAAACTTGTAGCCTCATTTTCTTCTGTTGAAAATAGAGCAAATGGCAGCAGGCAAGGAAAGCAGAGGAAAATGTAAAACTGATAGAGAAATCAGACTTATTACGATTATTACTTCCTTCCCCCTCATGATTTCTCCTGCTCTGCTGAGAAAATGCAGCATCATTCTCCTTTAAGTTCATATGAGTAGTAGAGGAAGTCAGGGTGTAAATATCAAGCAGTAGCTAGAAGTGAATTTACCAAAGTTCAATAAACATAAAAATGATGAATTTAGATGTCATGAAATTAACTCAGAATTACATGAGCAATAACCAAGTAATTACACCTTTAATAATGCATTAAACTTGTCAGGAATATTTAGTCATTCAACTAGAATTTAACAAGATAGCCTATAGCAAGTTACAGTAATTAGATATCCCTACTGAAAACATTGACAGTTCCTAATTGATACCTTTTATTATAAAAAAAGTTAAATGCCAAACATTTCTTTTGAGCGGATTAAGGAATAATCTGAGCTGTGTTTAAGACCATCCTGCCTACTCTTAGCAATTGCATGCAGGTGTAAAAAAGCATCAACAACAAAACCCTAAGAAGAAAAAAAATGTATAGCAGCTAAACCCATCAATCACTTACACAGATTTGGTTCAGGTCCTCACTCTGGTGATTTAAATTACAAACTAAGAGAGTTTTCTCCCTGGCAGGTCTGTCAGCAGCAAAGAGGAAGGGAGCTGGAAGGGAAAACTGTGGAACAGGTAAAGAGAGTAACAATCCCATCATGTGAAGGGTGCGGGACAGCAGTGGTATCAAGTCACACTGCAGCCTTTGCAAGGGTACAGCAGGAAGACTAAACAAGCTCAGGAGTTTGTAAATTAGGTATTAAGGCAGGAGCTGGGCTTGCTAACAACTGAATGAGGTTGTTTAGACTACAGGAGAAAGGGGAGTTTGAGAAAGAGCTGGGATAAAATTGAAGCAGCGTGTTTACATGCTGTTTCCAAACATGGGGGATATTTCTGCTGTTTTTATGTTGTTTGGTCTATGCTCTTGGCAAAAATTTAGTGTTCTTTCTTTTTTTTCTTGTAACCAAAAAGTCAAGTTTGTTCCAGCAGAAACTGAAAGAATAACTCAAAAAAAAAAATTCTTTTTGGTCATCTCAAAATGTAGTTTTTTTCTAGATTTGTTTAATTCTATTTCTTGACAAACTTTTGAACAATTTTCCTGTTTACCACAACAGTTTCCATATTGGGCCTAAATTCGCAAATCTTTTAGTTTTTCTAAAATTCGTCTTTCTAGCAAATTTCTTGGGGAGAAAGCATGCAATCCTAGTTCAGATCTGTGCTGGAAGCTCTGATGCTTGGTGAAGCCATCTGTACTTTAAACCAACCTAAACACAGGTTAGTGCTGTTTTTGTGAAACGATGGGGATCAGCTGGGATGATCACATACATATTTTGTCATTTCTTTTCATCTGTATAATAACAAGTCTTCTCAGGCTGCATGCTGAGCAATGTCTGATTGTCAATAAGACCTCTCTTGATTGCATCGTATGTAAATATTCCATGTCACTCTGTAGGATGCAATTCCAGGGTCTGACCAACTATACCTGTCTTCATGGATACAAGGGTCTGGCCTTTTTTTGCTACACTGATAATCAAATTAATTTCTAAAATATAGGTTCCCAAGTGCTTAATTCTGCACCTGAAATCCCACTCCTCTGCTCAGTTGTGGTGGCTCTGCTGAGCCCTTCACTCTGGATAAATAAGATTATTCATGAAACTGAAGCTACTGCATTTATGTTTATATGATTCTCAGCCAGTTGCATGGCAACTGGAATTGTCTTTACTGTTATGCATATTAAAACACTCAATAGATACCCTTTCAATAATTAATTGGTAATGAATGTAGAGGCTGTAGAATGATTTATCTGATGTGTTTAGGCTTTATCCAGTCGTTAAACTGGCTAAAAGAGCCTTGTTTTATTGTGTTAGGACTTCTTTAGCAGGAGATGCCATGCTCTGGTCTCCAAAATAACAGGCAGTAGACAAAACTGTCTGACCTGAATGGCATCAAGGCCAGCTGTGTGTGTATGCAACGCATGGGACAGAAACTGTGCAAGTTGCAGAGCAGACTAGAACATCTATGCTTGGAAGCAGGCAGCAGCAGCAATTTTCAATCCGTTTTCAACACCTCTGATGCTCCTGACACTCACCCAGTGCTCTGCATCTCCCTTTGAATGCCCCAGTTGGCTCTTCCAATGTGTGCAGCTTTCTCCTCGAAACAAGTAACATCAGAAGAGCAGTGCTGTGGCTTGAAATAGCCCTGTAGGACTTACTCTCATCTCTTAGCTGACTGTGAAATAAAGGGTTTCCATTACGTATCGGAAGTGAGCATCTGTAGACTCAATAAATACTTCCTCTGTTCCTTCTTGCTTTTTTCCTGGCCTGTTCCAGGGAAAAATGAAAAGGGTATCTCACTGGTGGCCAGACTTCCCATTTAACGTCTCTTAGTAGAAAATAGGTATTCCAGAATCAGTGCTAGCTGGGACTGGCTGCCCTTTCCTTCTTATTGGAAACATAACCAGGGCTTCTTCTAAGAAAAGGCAAGGAGGAAAATCCTCTGCTTTCTGAATGTTTTTTTTACAGTGTTTTCAACACAAGATGGAGTAAAAGGTTTCTTCACTCCCCCAAACTCTCCTTTTGACTCATTTTGGTGCTAATGGATACTCATGCTTTTATAAAAGTTGTGTACATGCTTGTTGCCCTGCTCTTGTTAGCACTGGCTTTGCAGGGGTGTTCATGCAACTGAGTTAATCGGTGAAGTCATGCACTGCATTGCTTCTCCTCTTGTCTGGAGCATGTCTCGAGTTCTGGTGTCACCACTTTGTCCTGTTGCATATCTGCGTATGCATTTGTCTGTGAAGAATGGACGCACTGCAGTGACCTCACTGACCCCCCATGCAGTAGCAGCATGTTGAACTTTTCTTGGTGCTTATTCCTTAATATCACCACTCATGTAACAGATTAAGTCAGTCATGTTGTGTTGTTTACATATAAACCTGTGCACTTGTTCATATTTATTTCTATGTAATGCACATGGATACTGGGGTTCGACTAAATGACCTTTGAAGGTCCCTTCACACCCATGCTATTCTATGATTCTATGAACCACTTTGCTGCTGTAGAACATGACTTTGTCATTCAGTTACTTGGAACAAGGTGCTGGGGTGGGAACTTGCCCAGTGTATCTGCGTATCTATCCATGTGGTTCCTCAGGTGGGGGCAGAGTTACCATGGCTGCAAGATGCAATCATGGTAGGTCATATAAATGGAGGGTACTATTGATTGTTCATTTTCACACACACCGTTACATGCACGCGCTTTTGAAAATAAGGTTCAGGGCATAATTGGTTACCAATGGAGCTTCAGCAAGTTGGCTGCATACAGTTGGTTTCCCTTATTTTTGTTTTCGAGAGCTATTCATGCTGATTCTGAGAACCTGTCTTAGGGCTTTGAATTTCCTCCTAGATGTGTCTCTGCATTAATCTTGTGTTATGCACTTAAAATAGATGATGTGTTTAACCTTTCAGACGTGCTGGTTGTGTTCTGCTTTATTTCTGCAAAACAAGGAATTAAGTGTTCCCCAAAAAGCTTCCCAGGTTCGTTCCCAGAAATAAAGTATGGGAGTTTGTTGAAAGCCTGAGACAAAAACTGTGTGGAGGCAGATTTGGCAGAGCAGTTGATGGGTGTGCTACTGAAAAAGTTGCTGGGGAAAAATCAGACAAATCCTGTGACGTCCAAAGATTATGCTGTGTATTGAGGGCTTTCAATGCTGACCCTGAGTATGGGCAATTGTTAGCGGGTGCTTCCCGGAGCAACCTCACAGGGTGAGCACCAGAGGCACCTGTGTTCTCCTAGCCTGCCAACTAATGAGGTGACAACGGGGTGTGATAACTCAACAGGCAGTGCTGGATTATATGGAGTCACTGCAGCCTGTTAATGCTTCGTAACAATCCTGCACAGCTTAGCTTCACTGAACCTGAAAGGCATTAGAATAAGGACTAAGAAGCTGAAGCCCATATGAAGTCAAGAGTGTTCCTGGAACAGCAAAACTGGAGTCTTTCAGATGATTTTTTTGAGCCGGTTTGAGGCTGGGGGACATATGTCTAAAAAGTTGTCTGCATGAATGCCTGACATGTTGTATATGGAGGTTACATGAACTAGATGATCTTAAGGCCCCTTCAAACCCTAACTATTCTTTGATTCTATGGCAAACAAAACCCAGTGTTTTTGCAGGCCCTGATGTGCCCATCTTGGTGTCCTGTTTCTGGTTATGGCTATCTTCAGTGAACTGGGAAAAAACAGTAAAGATCCTCAGAGACAATTCCCCCCCACACACATCCTTTTTGATATATCAGGTCTTTGTGATTTAGCAAACTAGTGGAAGCCCCGAAACATGGGATTAACACAATGTAAAGATGAGGTGGGCATGCTGTGAAAAGATTTGAAGTAACATATTCATCATAGAATCACAGACTGGTTTGGGTTTGAAGGGACTTCAAGATCATCCAGTTCTCCCTGCCACGGGCAGGGACTCCTTCCACACTCTCCAGACTGGCCTTGAACATTGTCCTTACTGGAAGTATTAAGCTTTGGTTGCAGGATGAGGGAAAATGAAGTTAAGATGACCTAGCTAGTTTATAGCTGTATACACAGTCTGAACAGATATCTCTGTTTCACATAGCAGAGGGAGTTTTCAGTGTCCACCAAAATCTAAATTTCTGCTTTTGTCTTATTAAAACCCTGACTCAGCAGATCCCTTCAGCATCGTTTTCCTTTCAATTACATTATGCACAAACTGGCTTAAATGCTTTGGACTCTCCAATTTGATTCCAAGTGAGATAGAAAATGGCAAAATTTAGAACATGGAACCAATAGGTGCACTAATCCCCTGATGTCCTTGGTGCCAAGATGCATTTAGAGTCTGGCTCATGTGCAAAAGATCCTCTTCCCTTTTTATAGCTCATTTAATCAGGGGTGTTTTTGACAAAACCCAGCAAAATATCCTGGAATTACCTAATGGGCTCCAAGTGAGTGTCCAGTGGGTTATGGAGCGTTCCCATGCAGGGGTGTTATAAAAGCGTTCTGTTGCTATGTGAACTGGAGGCTTGTTTTGATATAGCATCAATACCCAGGAGGGGAGCAGCGATGGGGGGAAGGGAAGAGAAGACAAGACCCTGGCACTGCGCCATCCTCTGGAGTTTTGTGCGGTGATAAACGGTTCCCCAGGAGCCAGCGTGACCCGCCAAGTAAACCCCAACGCGCTCAAAGAGCCGCAGGCTCAGATCCTGCTGACAGACAAGGGCTCCTTATCAGCTGCTTTGTTTAAACACACGTGCAGAGTGTGCACACGCAGGAGATGTGCCGTGGCAGGGGAGGAGGCACACCAGCAACCTGGGCTGCTCTGCCAGATAGTGTCCACCCAGGCATCCAGGTCGGATTCCTCTCCCCAGCCCCCCTTTGACTTCAGTAGAAACTTTGCATTTCCCCCCAGGTAGAGGCACAGACAGCAGCAGTTCCACTCTGCTGTGGCTTGCAATGGGTGAGATGCGCAGTGCAGTGAAGGCCTCATCGGCTTCCAAAGGGAGGAATTCCCATTCAAAGCTTTTGACTGAACTTGAAGGGCCATTGTTTCTGTTGTCCCTGGTTCACATGTAGAGCTCCTCTTCATATGGTTTGCTTTTTGGTTTGTCCTGCTCTTTTGGTTTTTGCTGTATTTGACTTAGGTGAAAGGCTTGGGAATTGCAGCTTTGAAAATGGATTGATTTGGAGCATGAAATCCATCGTAATGGATTTTATTTCCTTTTTTTTTTTTTTTTTTTCCCTTCTTCTTACCCAGTTTCTCCTGGGAAGTGTCAGTCTTGTTCTGATGGGCAGGTCAAGGCATGAGCTCAGTGGTGGTTTGGGGAATGCTTGGGCCTTGGGCACCGCTGCGGAAATCCATCTGTGACTGCCCCTGTGGTGCATCGAGCAGCCCTTTGCTAATAGAGGCTGTAACGTGCACAGCTCACTCTTGCAGGAAACAACTCCAGGACGATCACAGATATAGTTAACATGAAATAAGTGCTCCCCAGCAGAACATGCGTAAGAAATTGACTGAGCTGAAGAATGCTTTTCTCCAGTTACTCTCAGAAGGCAGAGTTGAAGCAGTGGAAAATCTTCAGGAGAGTATTTAAATGTAAGAAGACATGTTAGAAAGATCCTGCCTTTAACCAAAGGGCAACCATCCAAATCCTCTAAACCTAGAGAGAACAAAAAAATATGAAACATGAGAGACTGGGAAAGATGTAAACCAGAGAGAAAAGATAAAGGGATTTAATCATGAGTTTTTCACTGTTTGGGTGAGTTGAATCATCTCTCTCTTACCCGCTTTCCCTGTGTATACAAATGGCAGGCGACAGGGGAAGGAAGAAGAACATTAGGAAGCATGAGTAGTCACAGGACACTTGAAAATACGAAGCTTTTAAATAGTAGTAACTGTGAGCAGAGTGGATTAAATAGGTGCTTTGGTGTATAGCTGAGTTAAACAATCTGCAAGTCAGGAGCTGTGAGAACAGAGCCTGGTGTCCACAGCAGTCCGGGTGGCGGTGAGCCATCAGGAGGCATTCCTTAGGGGAGCAGAGGGAGCAGAAGGGAAACTTGCATGATGCTGTGCCATGTCCCCCTGGGACAGCTCTGAGCGAGCTGGAGTGTCTGCGCTGTGCTGGGAGGGAACGCTGGTGTGGGATTCAGGGGCAGTGTAGCTATGTTAGCTTTGTGCCTGAAATGAATAGCTCAACAAGGTAGTGGGGTGATGAGCACCACGCTGGTGAGGTACTTTCTGCACTGGAATTAGCTTTATCAATGTTAGTGAAGGGTTTTCTGTGCTGTGCTTGGCTCTAAGGTGTTGATGAGCCTCGACTGCTTGTCCCTGAGGAAAAGAGGAGATGGCCTCAAGCTGCACCAGGGCAGGTTTAGATTGAGATGAAGAACAATTCCTTCCCCAAAGGGTGCTCAGGCATTGGAACAGGCTGCCCAGGGCAGTGCTGGAGTCATCATCCCTGCAAGTGTTCACACACCATGTAGATGAGGCCCTCAGTGCCATGGGTTAGTGGTGGCTTTGGCAGTGGAGGGGAACAGTTGGACTTGATGAGCTTAAAAGTCTGTTCCAACCTGGTTGAGTCTGTGATTCTGTGACCATGAATTTACTTGATCAACCTTAATCCTGTGAAGCATAAGGAGTCAATGGAATAGTATGTTATGGTAAGCACAGTGATGACATGAGAGTTAATACTTGCAGTCCATACCTGGCTTTCAACTTTATTGACTTTGTCATGACACTTTACTTATCACTTTGTGCATCTTTAGAATGAGGAGGCATTGCAGTAGGTAGTCGAATCACAGAATGGTTTGGGTTGGAAAGGATCTTAAAACTCATCTATTTCCAGCCCCCTGCCATGGGGTATCAGAAGGGTATCAGCTTGAAGAGAAATGGGAATCTGGTATTGAAAGGAAGAGTCTAGGAACTAGACTGACACAAGTGGGTGAGGCTTCCACGAATAAGAAAGTGCATTACCTGATGCAGTAATCGATCGCTCCCTCTCACTGTGAAGACCCAACAGCTGCCATACATGTTTGATTTTGTGAGAGGGTCTTAAGTAGAAAGAAAACCAAATGGGAGCCAATGACTAGCCTGAAGGCAGGCACATCTTGATGCAAAATCGTTTTTTAAAGGGATTTGAGCATTCCCTGCAGCACAGCTTCCCTGTTCTGCTGCTGCTGCTGCAGCGTGGACTGGTTTCTCCCAGTTTCCAGGAGACCAAAGGACTAAAGCACTGTTCTGTCAGAACCCAAGTGCCTCTGGGCAGCAGATGGGGAGGGTTGGGGACTTCTCCTTGAGCTTTTATTGGTTTAATTTATCTTTTTTTTTTCCTTTTCCATCCTGCGTTTGCGCTTTAAGAAAACGGGGCAGGGGAGGAAGGCAAACAAAAGTTGACTTTTGTTAAGCGGCTGAGACTTGGCAATAGTGTGGAGGTCACGGTGCTCAGTCAGTGTCAGCCTCCATTCCCCAGAGTTGTATCCTGTAATGTATTTATTTATCATTACAGGCGGCCAAAAGTTTTTTCCCCCTTTTCAGTTTGTTCTGTCCAAGGCCGCAGGGTTCCGACAGAGATCAACAGCATTCCCGCAGTGATGAAGCAGCTCGTCAAAAGCTGAATTAGATGTTAAATCTTTCTGAAGTGGGGAGGAGGTGGAAGGAGGGGAATCACATTGTGCTAAGAATTTATCATGTGTTGTTTCCTGTGAGATAATGTATAGGAGAAGATTTGTTATGGTGCAAGTTTCAAACTGCTGTTTCAGGGCTATGGCGTCTGCCAAGCTTATGATGTATTTGATCTTTTCTGAAAGTCCTGCTTTTTGTTTTGTACCTTTTGTTAAGCTGTCTGTCTTCCTGGTAGGTAAATACTTAAAATACTCCACCCACTGAAATATGTGCACCAAAATTTGCATGGATAAGAGGAATAAGCAGAAATCTGTTGGGTTAGACTGACATTCTGTGAGGCTTCAGCTCCCGCACAGAAGGTTAGACACTGATCGTCTCTTAGCTTTGCATTTGTATGTGTTACACAAGTTGTGTGGGCTTTCCTTTTTGTAGGAGCTATTATGAATGTTGTTGCAGACCTTGAAGAAGAGAAGGACTTGCTATTCAGAGGTGCTGCATGTACCCAGCACTACATAAAGCCAAAAGGAGCAATAGCTTGAAAGTGCTCCTGAAAACCTTTATTGAACCTTTCTGCATTGGTGACCATCTTTTATGGTGCAGGTCGCTATCTTGAGCTTGCGCACTTGTAAGGTGATGGAAATACTTTCTGTGTTCTTTTGCTCTTTCATCACACTCCTTTTTTCCTCAGAAGGAAGTATAGATGAGTCTTATTCATTTATGCTTTCTGGTGCAATTTTGCTATCTGTAGTCATTGAAAGGGGTTCATAGGCAACTCATGTACCTTACAGATAGGCTATAAAATGAACCCCTTTTCAATCCAAAGCGAGAGGGGGGAAGTATTAGATTTTTCTTCCTCATCCACTGAATAAATATGCTGGTCTGAGAACCTTTGGGATAAAATAGTTTTGCTCCAATTCTTCAATAAAATGTCAAGTGCAATGATAGATGAACTGGCAACCCTGAAGTTTACTCAACATTGTTTTGTTCTCAGTATCTAGGTCAAGATATTTCTGGTTTGCTTGGATCAGACTAAATTTCCACAGATCTTAAATAACACTGTTAATATTATAAGTGGCTTGGTTATCGGTCAGGAAGGAAGCTTATTGATCATCAGGATAAACACTGTGTGCATATGAGCCATCTTTTCCTTCATGGCTGTAATGAATCTGAAGACCAAAAGCAGGCATGGTAAGTCCCCTCTGCTGAGGGGTGTGGGAAGGAAGCTTGTAGCATTCCTGTCTCCCTGCCTTAGCTGCTTACTTGGCCTTTACTACAGGCACCTAAATAACCTTTAACAGAACTTTTCTGTAAAGCAACCCTGGAAGTAAGTGCTGCTGTGTACTGTGCACAGGGGGGGGTCAGCCGTGGAGGGGAAGTCACAAATTGACCCACTGTTGTGTGAATTTGGGCCTTGACTTTGGACTGGAACCCAGTCTACTTAGTCTGTAACTGTGGATTTGGCCTCTGGACTGGGTCAACATGCTTGTCAGACGCTGGTTACCACCCACGTGTCATGATGGGGAAAAGACATGACTGGTTCAAGCCACTAAGCTCAGAATACATGAGCAGATACCAAATGTGTCATGGATGAGCAATGACTTCGGCACTGCAACCCCTAACTTCACCCAGGATCTTGGACCTCAATCAGCTACTCAGGTTGCCTGATTTGAGCACAAGGGATTTAAAGGTCAAATCGTGTCTCTCAGGAAGAAGAAAAATATATATATTCCGACTTTCTTAGGCTGTCCTTAAAGAGGCTTTTGTCCATCCTCCCCTTTGGAGGTTCGCGGTGTTGCCAAAACAAGCTCAGGTAACCTGCCTGTGCTAAAGAAGAAGGATATGTAAGTTGTGAGATCATCTTTCTTTGGAATGGATCCTCTCTTCCACATTTTATTATTTACCAAAAGCAGTTCATAGGACAGTAGCAGTGGTCCCTGACTGAGCATTATGGTCATGAAAGTTAAAAATTTATCATAAAAGATAAAATCATGGTGTTTCCTCTGCCCATTCACTCATGGAAACTTGAACTCGTTCTGTGAAGTAGCTAGGCTTTGTCAAGAGGAGTGGAGAACACCTCTGAGAAGAGTGAGTAGCCAGGGAATTACAGCATCATCCTGGAAAAGGGGAGATGTTCATTTGAAGCCCTCTGGTTGAGACATGGAGCTTCTGCAGGCGTGCAGGAGCTGGTGAGTAACTCAGTGAAGCAGCAGTGGCATCAGTGTGATGTGGTTTGGCCTGGAAGGAGGCGCAGGCAGCCTGCTCTGGGTGGAGCACACCCTAGCACTCCAACAGGTCCTGCAAGGGATTTAGGTGGCTGAAAGCCTGTTCTGTGGAGTCCAAGGAGGGCTGGGTATGAGCTTGGTGTGCTGCCCAGCTCAAGTAGTGGCATGTGTGGATGCTGAGCTGTGTGGGGAGTGCTGCTGCGGGAAACAGAGATGCATAAAGAGTTAGGGATATCACCTCTTTCAATGAAGGCACCCAAAGGGCATGTTGCAAAAGGTGGCTGAGCTGCTCTTTCACTCCTGCCAAAAGAGGGAAGTCTCTCTTCACCACCCAGCTCCTGGTTAGATCTTTGCCAAACCAGTTCCCCCTCCAGTGACTGCAGCAGTGGTGAGCTATCAGAGCAAGTATCTCACGGGGCTTCATCCCGTCAGGTGTTGGCAGCAGTTCACAATGAAAAATGGGATCCTTGCATCTAGGGTACTGTGCTGGCACCTTCCCTGCCAATCAGTTCTATTTACCATGAGCTCCTGTTTGCAGTTTCTGAAGGATCTGGAAGAAATCACAAGAGTGGAGGTTATGAGGGGGGACATACTCCAGGCTTTGCTTTGTTACCACGTTGCCTCTTCCTAGCAAAATGGATGTGCCAGTAGGATTCCCTGACTCGATCCAGCTCTCATGTTAACTCTGGTAAGTGTGTGTAAATGGAAGAATGAGCGTGGTATGTCAAATAACAGTTCAGTTTTCAGTTTTTTGTAGAAGACCTGTGTGTCAGGTTGGAGAAAGCCTCTGCAGCCCACTTGGATGGGAGTGCTGCTGAATTGCTTTTCCTGGTTCTTTATTTGCTCCGTATTCCTTTATGTTGTATCCAGCTGTCCAGCCCGTGTTTCAGGGAGGATCTGATCCTCGCTCTGACTCTGCAGGTCACGTAGCAAAGGCCCCCTTAAAGCAGTGTATCTGTCACAATAATATGCTTCCAGTGCACAGAAAAGAAATTCGATAAGAAAGTGACATAATAAAAGATAAGCTGTGTTAAACAAAGACGTTTTCTGTATATCACACCAAAAGGTGGTGTATTTCATAGCACAGCAAAGCACACTTCATCAGGATCCCAGGGAAGAAGCAGACCTGCTAAAAGAATAACATTTTGGTGCCAGGGAAGTTATGCATTTAATAGACCTCCACTGTATTTTGCAGAGAGATTTGCAGCTACATTCAGACTTGGTTAAAACGTAATGGCAAATGTTGTAGGAGCCAGTTCTCCTTAGGGCTTCATATTGCAACAGTGGAACTATAAATGATGTTACTGAAGTGGGAAGGGTCCGAAGGCAAGCAGGATGTCATTTCAGTTGGGAGGTGCTTTTGATTAGTGGGCCTGTCTGAATGCTGAGCTGTCCAGGAGAAAATCCCATCAGGCTGCTTTTTAGACACTTGAAGGGGAGGAAGTCTGTGCTCTACAAGCCTGGTTGCAATGGATCCTGCTGCTTATCCACATCCACTCTGGCTAGTACAGAAGCTCAGGGAGAGAGCTGATTTTCGTGCATGCCCCTATCCCCTGGCAGCTGCTGCAGTGCTGCATTGCTGCAAGGCAGCTTGGATGGATGGGACAGGGATCACTGTCTTCCCTTAACCTGTCTGCTACTGGCCCTTCTTTCCCAAGAGAAACCTCAGCTCAGTGTTTTAAATGGAAACCGTTCCTAAATCTGTCAGCCTCTAGTGAAAAAAAACCCAAACCCCAAAAGAGCATGGTTTTTCGTGCTTGCAGTTGAGGATTTGGAAAATGCAACCTACAACATGGTGGAGATTGATAGTTTCTTGCAATCTCTTTCATGGACACTTACTTTCTGCAGCATTCAGAAGGGAAAAGACCTGGTTGTCTGGCGCTTTTGTGTTACTTTAGAAGGGGTGTTCCTATAGCGGAACTGGAGTTGTTTCTAAGAGACAAAGCTGTAATTAAGTCTTGTGTAATCTGACTATAGGAGAAAAGCCAGTTCTATAAAGACATGCCTCACTTCTCCTCCCTTGCCTCCCCAGATCTGCTGGTCCCCACTCCAAAAGGACACTGCAAGGGAAGAGGATGGCTGAGTGGGACAGTGAGTGGTGCTCTTGGCTGGCACCAGCGGGGACCATGACAACAGCAAAAAGACAGAACTTGGTCTGCAGGGCCCTTCTACCTTGCAGTAGAAAATCTGAATGAGGATTTGTTTTGTTTTGTGTTCTGAAGTCAATAGGTTTGTTTTCTCTTCCCTCTCCTGTTTTTGGAGTCGTAAATTTACAGTTTTCTCACCGTGGAAGGAAGAACTGGTTGAATGAAGCTACTCTGTAGTGCAGGAGAGTGGAAGTCCTCCCTGGGCCTGGGGGATGGCCGGAGTGTACGTGCAGCGTGTTGAGTGGTGGGATGTGGATCTGCAGAGTGCTGTCCATGTGCCTGGAGTGACGAGTGGGAGTTTTCGCCATCAGCACTTAACACTGGTGCTCCAGGATCTATGCTGCGCTTGTTGGGCTCACGGGGGAGGCTAAAATAGATTCTTGGCACATGGGCTTGGATCTTGGATCCTCTTTGCTTAATAGATTGCTCTGTCTCCCCAGCGGTACCACTGCAGCTGCAAGCCACAGCGGCTTTTTGGCTGAAGTCCTCTCGTTTTTAAGGAGAGAATACTGGATAGATCTCCTCAGCAGGAGCATGACTGAATGCTCCCTTTCCACCAGCCTGGGAGAGTCCAGTTCTGCTGACCTGAGGGACGCAGCTCCTCATGTCCCAGGCTCTGGAGAAGAGAGAAATAGTGTGTGCAAAAGTTTGCAGTTTATATAGAAAAAAATTGAGGTCTCTGGCCAAGAGGCTTTCTTGTGCCTTCTTTGGCTTTTGGAAGTTGCTGGGTTTATTTTTGTCTGTGTGAGCTGGCCTGTTCTTTTTAATATACAGCAAAGGTGGCTAGAGGCCTGGATA